GATGGTTTTATATACGTGAGAGAGCACTGTTTCAGAACTACTTGAGAAGTGTATTGTAGACGTTAGGAAAAGCCGGCCTATTGCTGATCTGGCCGATATACCATATCTAAGTACATATTACTCCAAACTTCAGTCCAGAGTATAAGTTATTCCATCAGAACTATGCAGTCTGGTCGTGAGCTTTGACGTGAGCCTTTTGTCGCTTGTCCTGGATGGATTGCTCGACATCTTCTTCCAAGCCCTCAATGACCTGGATATCTGAATCTATATCAACATTCCTGAGAGGGGAGAACTTGTCGCGGCCCTCGAACAGCCATCCAGCAATCATTGCAACACCCAAACATGTCATGATCAAGACGGTATAGTTCATAGTATCGGCAGTCACTGGATGGGTTTGCGGGATCTAGCGCGCTGTTAGCCTCGGAATGATCATCAGGAATAGGATGGGGACCCACGAATGCCACGATGATAACAAGGACAGAGTATAGAATAGCGACGAGGTATACCGGATTTGACCAAGCTCCAAAATCCCAGCGAGGACTTGGAAGGAGCATGGATCTTTTGGTCAACAGAAGGATGAGTGCGGGAAACCCTTTTATTGTATTAACGGAAGAACCAAGAATGAATCAGGGACTCATACCGAAGCTGATGATCTGGCAAACAGCTTGTGCACCGATTATTGCGTTGAATGCGGTGAGCGAGAAAAGATAACTGTGATGCGTTAGGGAGGATTTAACGTTGAAGGCTTTCTATCTCACATTAGACCAATTGCGAACACGATCACACATGAGAGGTTGATCGACCACACAGGAAGGTTTGTGTGGGGAGATAAGTGCACCAGCCTTGTGAGATGTCAGCTGTGGATATTCTGTGAGGATGGAACTCGTTCAATCCATACTTGTCATTCCAGAAGAGACCATTATCTCGGGCGAATGCATAACCTTGACGGCTCATCGTAATGGCCGAACCGAGAGATGATGCGATCATGTTCACGAGTAGAATGCAACAGAACACTATTGCCGCTGCCCGGCTGCCAGTAGCGAGTCGAATGATTTCGAGCACGGGGACTCTGCAGCGTGTTAGCAGTATCCAGCAGGAACAAGGTATTACTCTCACCCAGTAGATGTTGCAACAATAGCATCCAAGTCTTTGACAGAAAAGCCAAGGACAAGAATCCAAACAAGACCAATCGCAAACTGACTGAGGATGACGATGATCATAATGCGGGGGAGGAACCGCTTAGGCTGTGGAATCTCCTCAGCCAGATGCGCTGGCCCATCGAGACCCATCAGAGTTGAGAAACTATTCATCAGTCCGAGTAGGACCGCAAATCCCGTAGAAGAGTATCTGGTCACCACTTGATTAGCGAGCTGAATGACGAACGCATTGTCATCTGACACGAACCCAGTTCTGTTGCTAGTTTCTACAAAGACAAAACTTGCGGAAGCCTTTGGAGCCTTAACAAGAAGCAGGACAGAGAAAGCCACGAAACCAATAGCGGTTGCCCAGCCTATACAAGTCAGCACATCTATGCATGGGGGCTGGCAGCGATGCTTATACTCACAGCCAATATTCTCCAGCGTGGGGATCCCCCTCAGCCCAAAGAGGTTAACGAGCCAACAGGCAATTGCAACAATCATGTATGCGACGAACAGACGCCATCGAACAGTCACGTCAAAGTCCGCGTCGCAGAGATTGATCAGTCCGAGAAACAAGGTGGCAGTAACAGCACAGCAGGCCGCGTGGGTCAGGACCCAGCCTGCATAGTTCAGCCAGCCGAGGGGATAGGCAACCTGTCGCCTGTACTTTTCAGGGGTAAGAAAGACGGCATAGTGATAAGCGCCGCCTGGCAAAAGTCAGTACGGTTGATAAGCTGTGGGTGACCGACATACCAGCAGTAGCGAACCTTGCAGAGCATTGCGCGAAGACGAGCATGATACACATGACGCAAAGACTTGACGCCGTGCTTTAAAACAGGTTTGTATCAACGTCGACATAAAGGCGATGTACACGAGGGCTTCTAGACTTACTAGCCATAGATGAGAGTAGGAAGACCACCAGCTGAGAGACTGATGAACAAGATAAAGGATATTCCACCGAAGGAATTGATGGTAAGCCATCCTATACTTATGCCGCTCCACAGGCCAAAGGTGTGCGGAAGGTGTTGACCTTGAGAGGGATTGATCTGTGTAGTCATAATGAATGGTTGAGATGAGTTATGGAATGACTGTGAGATAGTTGGGAGCTGCGACAACCGTCTTAAGTATTAATCTTTATCCAGCTTTTGTTGATTCATGAGAGAGACTTTATCTGTATCGCGGACTGTTGCGGTATCACTATCATCCTCTAGCTTTCCAAAGAGTCTCTGCGGTATACCAAAGTCATCCGGTATTCAGTCCTCACTGTGGGATGTACATTCCGTAATTCAAAGCGGCACAAAATGCGGCTCGGTTAACTGATTGTTGAGCAATTCGGTGTTGAACATCGTACTAATCCAAGACAGGATATCATAGTGCTATCAATGAAAGTCCTCTAGGTGATATCAACTTAATATGAAAGAGATAAGAACCAGGAGAGATAACGCCCGTATACATATAGCTCTTGATTGGACAGATTCTTCTAGATAAGCAGGAAGTAGGCTTGCCTGTTAGCTTGAACTATGTTATCGAAGGCTAACGTTAGGTGAATTATAGTTAGATCTGGGTTTATCAGTAAACCCCGCATGAAATGCTGCCCCACATTCATTGCTAGACCCGTTGGTGTTCTTTAGCACAATCTATAGCGTCATGTTGTCTTCTTGTATGCCATGTTTAACAGAGAGTAACCAACTCCTTGACAAAACACGCGATTGCCAGGCAAAATATTGAACATAAGATGGCTAGTATAAGATCTAGAGAACATATGTAAGAATAAGCGTGCATCTCAAAGCCTTTAGCTGATTACATACATGGCGTTGGACTTGTCGCAAAGGTGGTCGAAGGCGCAATAAGGGCAAGCTTGAATTATTACTCTCACAGAGCCAAATGTGGTAGCTATGCCATGGTGAATTAAATTAAAATGCCTTCATCTAAAGCTTTATATATATAACCTAGCTTAGACTCTGAGTTAAATTGGGGTTTTTGTTACATTAGCTTTGTATTACTTGGAGAGATATCACGGCATCAAGAACACGAGTTGATATATGACACTACTTGCGGCTAAAAAACTTTAAAACTTAAGAGAAGATGTATACCTAGACAGGCGATTTACAGCAAAGTCTTAATGGCACCTAAAAGAGTGATCCTGGTTCTGTAATATATATAAATAATACACTCAATTTATTTTTAAACTAGATCTAGCGTAAAAAATGAAGGTGTCTTGTGTGTCTAGGCTACAACTTGCCCTTCGATGCTCCCGTATCCGAAAGGATCTTCATTGCTGCCCAGCGTGACGATCGGATCTTTCATATCCACATGGCCGCAGTTTGGGTGACTAACCGAGTAACCCAACAACGACTGTACCTCAGGATCGTAGTCCTTGATGACCTCACGAGGAATAGCCAAGTACTGGTTCTCGTCCGCCCGGTATGAGCCACGCACCATGTGACAAGAAAAGATGTTACGTCGCTCGTCGGTAATGTTAGCTCCAGCACCATGCCACACGCTACCGATGATCATAACGGCATCGCCCTTCTCCATCTCGGCCGTGGAGCACATAGATCTATCGGCAGGTCCTGAGATGGCGGCTTCGGGCCAGAAGTGGGAGCCGACAATGATTTGGGTGGCTCCATTCTCAAAAGTGCATTTCTGCAATCAGGTCAGCACGCTGATCGGAAGTAGGAATAGTGCCAATACGTACAGTGCCCGCAACGAGCAACCCCAGCAGAGAACTCTCCCCGCTACCTTCGACATGGTCAAAGTGTTGAGCCATGTCGTCCCGGTGGAGGGGCTGAGCCTTGGATCGACCGCGAGAGAAGGCTTCCGATACGGCCAAGACGGGGTTAGACACACACTTGTATCGCTTGCCATCACGGAAAGGGTAACTATGTGTCTCCTTGATTAGATAAAACTTCAAACTTCAAGGAGATGCAACTCTTACGACTCTTCCTTTAGTAAAAGCTTTGATGCCTCTCGATAGACAGGATGGTTGATAGCTTTGTGGGCAAATGTTGGAGACTTTCCTGCGAAGCCACTGCACACTCCATTTTAGTAATCACTCACGGAAGGAAAAGAAGACTTGAACAAGATGTAAGGTACATACCTCAGAGGCGGGTCAGTAGGAGGGAACAGGGTGCCTTCATACTTGCCAACCTTCTGATAGTGAGGGTCGGCCTCTGCCTGGATTCGATCTGCCTCTTCTGGCTTGATGAAATTCTTGATGATGATGCCCCCGTCTCTGCGAATCACGCTGGCAATTTCTTCGATGGGGGCCGTGGCTGGCAACGCCGTGATTTCCGGGTTATTCCGCTGATGAACAGGGTTAGGCATTTTGGCAAAAGGCTCAAAGTACAATGGGAGAAAGCTTAGTTGCAGTTGCAAGACAACTCTAATTGTTGTAATTGTTGGTTTAAATGAATAGTATAATTGGGTTGATAAAACTGGTATATATGCACATCACTGCTTATATTATTCTAATCAGACCGAATACGGGTCAGAAAGCAAAGCACGAAACGAGCTAAAAGAGTTGATAGCGTTAATTGTTCCCAAACCGGTAACACTAATGCTATCAGTTGCAAAAAGCCATATCACTGAAGATCTTATCACAGTGGGACTGGGCCTGGGCTTATCTTATCCAAGGGCTTGCGGTTTTCGGCCGGCCTTTAGGCAATGCCACAGCATTTCCGAGGATAGCCAATATGATGTACAAGTTGATGACCATCGCTTTCAGATCTAAATGCCTGAAGCACCACGGAAGCATAAGTAGCCCGAATTCCCAGTTCTACAAGGAAATCACCACCAAAAGCTTGATACATCAAAGCCATCTTGTTCCTCTGTTGCCTATCGCTCATATCCACCACCACTATGTCTTCTGTTAAGAGATTCGCCGCTTCAGCTCGAGCCCACGATGTCCTCCAGACTCTCAAGGCAGATGGAATTGTCGTTGTTGAAGGTGCAGCCAAGACCGCAACATTAGACTCCGTTCTCCAAGAGATAGGACCGCTGGCTGATGGTCAAACCTTTGGTCTGATCGGCAAGAGTCGAACCTTTGCCACCGATCTTTTGATCAATGACCTCTTCATCGACCTCACGAAACGCCTTCTCACTGATACCTGCACAATTTACTATTCTGAAGAGAGAACCGTTTCTACTGCCGAGCCTCAAGTATCTTTTACATCCGCCTTGTTCTCTAAGCCAGGATCTTCTGGCTGGGGCCTTCGTCGTCAGGACGATTGCCATCACACCATCCATCCCGCCAAACGCGAAACCGATTTTGGTATCGCTTATGCAGCGACTGACATCACCAAAGATAACGGTGCTATTCGAGCTGTTATCGGCTCCAATATGTGGAAGGACACTCGAGATCCCACTCCTGCTGATGAGACTCAAATCGAGTTGAAGAAAGGGGATGCTGTTCTTTGGTGAGTTTATTTATGGCTTTTAGATATTCCCAAGACTCATACTCACAATCATCAGTCTAGGGTCTGTCTTCTACGGCCAGAAGCCGAACACTACGAACGAGGCTAGTTTGTTGCTCAGCGCTTTCACGACACCAGGATGGTGCCGCCAAGAAGAGAATCAGTATTTGGCCATACCATATGAGATTGTCGAAACGCTCCCTAAGGATATTCAGCGCTTTCTGGGATACTATGTCAGTCTCCCTTATGGAGGTGCAGTAGAACATATGGAGCCACTTGACTTCCTCGCAGCTAAGGGTGATTGGACTAAGTATATACCCGTGGATTTAGTTTGATACTAGCCAAGGAGTCTAAAGATAGAAGTACCTACTTTGCAGCACCGCTCTAATAGCAGATTATCACTATGAAACCATAAACGAAGTCAAGATATTACTGCGCGACCTGTGTTTCAAAGAGTTTCCATTGACCATGTGCAAGAATAAAGCAGTTTGCGTAAAGTATAATTGAATGTTGCAAGCAGTGTCATACGGAAAGCGAAAGCTTCTTCTATTTGACTTCTTTATGACCGAGAAATTATCTTGCTGATCGCGGATTGATCGTAATTCGACCCGCAAAGGAGTACAACACTGGTTTGCCCGGCTAGTTTTGAAGCGACCTTGTTGAAGCCAGCAAGAGCCAAAGCTGCGGACCCTTCAACAATCATGCTCTCAGACCAAGCAAGCTCCTTCAATGCCTCTTTTATATCGTCCTCACTACAGTCGATCAGTTCATCAACAACTGCACTCGCCAATCCGAGGGTTATAGTGTTCTCATCGATGCCGCCGGCAACAGCCTCGGCTAAAGTGGGAAGATGTTCTGTTTCGACAACGTGTCCTGTGGCCATCGACTCAGATAGTGCTTTTGAGTTGACCGCTGAAACACCAAAGACTTTGATGCTTGGATTGTTTGCCTTGAGGACGGATCCAATGCCACTGACAAGACCTCCGCCGCCCATCGAGATGAAGATGTTATCGATATGGTCACATTGCTCTAGAAGTTCGAGGCCAATGGTACCCTGACCAGCAATTATATCGGGGTCGTTGTATGGCGATACGTAAGTATAATCACCCGAGGCAGCAAGCTTCTGGGCATGTTGCTCCGAGAGCCCAGCCTCAGCGCCATGCAGAATCACATCGACACCGTATGATTTGATAGCATTCAGCTTGGCAAGAATAACAATCTCTGGAAGGACAACAGTGAGATCCTTGGATAGAGTCTGCGATGCCAAAGCACAGCCGATGCCGTGGTTGCCTGATGAAGCAGTGATCAATCGGCCTTGCCCTGCTGCTGACAGTTTGGACATGGCGCCTCGGACTTTGAAAGATCCCGTGAGCTGAAAGTTCTCAGCTTTGAACAGGACATTGGCTTTGAGATCGCGGCCGACCTTCTTGGCGGGGATGAGAGGTGTTTGATAGACGTGATGACGAATGCGGCTTCGCGACTGCACTGAAGCTGCTGCTATTTCTTGAAAGGTTGGCATGGCGATGGCAGTTGGCTCTGAAGAAGAGAAGATATTTAATGTGTGAAGTAAGCTCTGATGAAGGCGTCTGAGGTGAAAAGTAATTGAGGGATGGAGTATCTGCAGGTCTCGGCCGCATTTATGTCTAGTCTGGTCGATTCTTGGTTTGGATGTCTTTACTAAGGCGCGCGGCGCTCATGTCAGCAAGAGCCCAAGCTAAACCATTCTTGGCAATTCTTCTGACTACAACGATTGGCTGCATCGCTAATACAATCGAGACTCATGGGTTTCAGAACACCCTATAGGACCTTCATTGATGCCTTTGGACTGTGTCTTCTAGCCTAATGAAGAAAACCTTGCCTTACTTGTCCGGTTATGGGCTACTGGGAGAGGATCAGTATGAGAGCCGCAGCATTTAGACCTGCCTAATCAGGATAATTAAGCGTTAGTACCCACTTAATGAGATCAATCTGGATCACAGGGCAGAGCAGATTGATCTCATTGAGATATTGTACGGTCTAAAATATGCTGATCTTGTGAGTCAACATCATATACTTAGTAAATCCTAACACACAACCTCGTTCCAACGTCAGCCACCAACTGGAGCCATTCTCCCGGTGGCGTCTGCTCTTTCTGCTCAACACATTTTCCAAATACCTCCCAGACCTTGAGGAACTTGTGATTACTCTCCTTTGTCGTCTCAATCGTATCAAATGCTTTTACCATCCATGCATGTTGCTTCACCTTTCTATAATCCTCCCGAGCTTTTTGTTTCTCAGAATCCCTAGCAAGGAATATTCTAACTTGGACACAGTAGAGAATCAAGGCTGCGAGACCAGCTGCTAATGCAGTCGCGACAGATGACCCGTCCACGATCTCCGGGGGAGTCCTTCGGCTTGGACCGCTATCGACTTTGACCTTATCGCCGGGGAAGGTGTAGCTGAGCCCAGAGGCATTACCGACGTAGTCTACGCTTGCACCTGAGGAGTTTGCAGCGCCGATGGTGAAGATCTTGCCTGTTGCTGCTTTGGAGGGATATGTTGGGATGTCGTGGGCTCCCTTGTCGCTCGCTGAGCAGAACATGAGAATGTTGGCTTTGGCAGCTTCGATGACGGCGTTTTCCAGGTCTTGTCTTTCTCTGTCGTCCTTTGGTGGATCGATGGTCCATGACATGGAAATAATCTGGACTCCTTGTACTATTGCTGCACGGATGGCCTAGTGACGTTAGTTACTGTTGTCCATTATGCTCCAGTTTACATACCTTTGCAGCACTTCTGGCGGTGATATTCAGCTTGGTCCCATCTTCAGAGGGAGTATCCTCAAGTCTTAGTATAAAGAGAGATGCATGCGGGCACATGAGGTGGATGCTCTTGGCCATGATAGTTCCGTGTCCAGTTCGAGACATGTAATATGGATCCAAAAGACCCCCATGTTCAGACCGTACGCAAAAGCTTCTACCACCGATAAAATGGTAGTCAAGATCTTTCTTGTCAACTCCATCATCGATGATCGCAATTTGGATTGGTTCAATCATTTCGCTGACCTTGGCTCCAGGGGCCATGGGGTAATTTGCCTCGGCTTCAAAGATCAGCTTTCTGAATTCTGTCATGCACTGGATCCATTCGTGCTTGGTAGTATGCTCCGGGACTTCTTCAGGGCGAGCGGGGGTCTTATCAGTTCGTTTTCGGTGCGCATTTGGCCACTCTAATTCGACTTCGACTTCAGGACAAAGTAGCTTCATTCTGTTCTGGAACTCGTTTACGTTGTATTCAGTTCGGACGGAAGACTCAAGGCCCTTTTGGTGTTAGCAAACTGCCATATGCCGATAACTAAGCAAGACTCACTTGCTGGATATGAAGTCTGACGAGCCCCAGCTCGGTTAGCTTTGCCAACCCTCCAGGCTCGCTCCAGCCTCTGAGTACAGCATTATTACCACTCCAGTAGAGATGAACCTCGCGTGCCTTGGGAGCGGCATTGACAATAACTTCGGTGCACAAGTCTGTCTTGTTCCAGTCCCAAACCTCAACACCCATGCCTTGGAGCGCCTTCTCAATGGCCTCATCACTGTGGGATGGAGAGTTTGGATCAGAGTCTTGTACAAACACGCGAAGGACCGTCTCAACGCCCTTGTTACGGAGCTGGTTGAATATGTGCACCAAGTCCGACCTGCCAGCCCCATCCGGTACGGGCTTAATTTGTTTGCGCATGGAGGTTCTCGACTTAGTTTGGTGAGGTTCCTCGACGGTGATTTTGGGGATCCAAACATATTGGAGAGTGTCCTCGAAAGTGATGTTTCGCAGAAGATTAGTGAGTTCCTTTTGAGTGAGACTTTCATCTGGATGCATCATGCCAGAGAGGTCAAAGCTAAGCTCCTTGTCTACGACATGTCAAGCACAATTCAATCCATAAGTAATATTCAGAGGAAAGGTTAGACTTACCCGAGGGTGTATTCTTTCCATACAAGATCTCCATGGCGTCAGTGCAATCCCGGGATCTCAAATAGTGCAGCTTGAGCAACCGTTCAACTCCTTTCACAATGGTCTCATCCACTGGGTCTGATTTGCTGCCGCTCTTTTTGCTCTTCTTGGACTTGTTCGTACCAGATTCGCCAGTTAGTTTCTTCTTGCTGTTGTCTCCAGCATCTGGAACGACACTTGGAGCTGGTGAGGCAATGGGAACAGAAGGCTGGGTGGTGAAACTGCCTCCATACTTAGTTCGGTGATCGACTTGTACGCTGTCTCGCATCTCGGGTCGCACGGAGCTGTCAGGTTGTAAAATAGACGGCACAGATGACGGCATGCCTCTATTTGGAACAGATTCCGCTTCTTCTGCCTGTTTCTTTCGACCCTTTCTGACACTTTCTTTGTGGCATCTATAAGGAGAGAGATTCGCCTTGTTGTAGTCACCGTTCGCGCTGTTGGATATCGCCCGATCGCCCTTGTCTAGCATCATCTTGATATATTGTAGCTGTTCTCTCTTGCAGTTTTCGTAGTCAACAGCAAGATGAAGCGGGGTGTTCCCATTGTCATCTTTTGCTGCCAAAACCTCAGGCTTCGCTTTCTTTATGAGTAAGTCAAGGAACTTGATCCTCTTGTGAATCCCGATATGAAGACAATTCATTCCCCTGCTTCCAACAATGGAGATGATGCTGCTTATGTCAGGATGAGCCTCGCAAATCCACTGCACCATCGGCTTCTTTCGTTGCTCAATCGCAAGGAACAGGGATGTGCACCCCGAACGGTCTTTGATCTCGAGGTAATTCTTCTGTTGGCAAAGGAATTTGATGAGCGGCTCCATTTTTTCATCCAGGTTAGGAAGTGACTTTTTGTCTTCCTTGGCCATGATGTGAAGAGCTGTCGGCTGGTCTCTGTCTCTAGTCTGGCGGGCGAGGTTTGGTCCCCGATGGGTAACGAAAGCAGCCAGTTTCTGACTGTCGGTGAGGTTGAGTTCTCCATTGCGAATTTCTTTGAGGACTTGGGCGAGCATGTCCTTCACTGAGACTTTCTCTCCCTCCTCATCTCCATCTTCATCCTCGCTGCCACTGTCTTCACTAGAAACATCACCAACTTTGGACGCTGCATCTGCATTTGCTTCGACAAAGTCATAATCTGGCTCTGCATTGTGGGGTTTGTAATCCTGGATTGCCGTGCTCATTTTCCGGGCTGAGAACATCTTGGATATCTTGCTTGTTGTTCAGGGACCTAGAGAACTTCCCAAGCCTCTTCCTACCATCATAGACGACACCAAGCAAGCAGATAATTCAATCCTCGGCATGTCACGCTTTGACGCAGGCAAAATCCAGGGACTCTGAAATCGACACCCCACCCTAATCTCCAGGGTCTATTCTGGTGCATGTGATAGGGCCTCTAGGTTCCGCCTTGCAGGGGCCACGTCACTACCGGGTTCCATTTAGGCTGCCAGGGATCGTACAGCCCTGTAAGGATGTTCATAGCAAAAGGTCTTTGGACCTGGCCATGCGGTCAGCATATGCGGCTAGTATTGCGAATAGAGTTTGGTGATTTACGAGCCACGAGACTCACTACCAAATATGAGCATAAAATGCACTGCTGGACTCGCCATGCCGAGGTTTATCGAGCATTGGATGACCTCCTGGCAAGATGGCTCATACTGAGAAAGAAGACCACTACGGTAACAACGATGAAAACACTGAGTGCTTCGACGTAGAGGCCCAACTACATGCAACATCCATCAGCATCGGCCTCAATATATCCGCAGAGAAAAACAACGAGTTTCATACCCGCAATGACCCAGCCGCGCCCTTTCAACGATCGACGATCACTGAGCGGCAAGGAATAACTCAAGTACAGTGCTTTTCACGCGAGATCATCCATGGCTACCTGTCACCAGACGGAAACAACGCGACCTTGCTTGTCTATGATCTTCATCTCGACACAACCAAGAAATCCCGGCGTATCCGCGAAGCTCAAGTCAAGTTCGAGTTCAAGAGCAGCAATCCAGGAGGCTCAGCACCCCAGGTAGCAAGGATAGCACCTCATGGAAGTGTCTCCGTGTTAGCAACATCTGCCGAAGAATCCAAAACTATCGGCTATGGACTATCGGCTGGAGCCAGCCAGTTCGTCAGCGTCGACAGCTCGGCCAAATGGGAGAAGACGGTCAGCCAAACGAGAAACGATACAGCTAGAGTAGCTGGTGGTTTTCTCTGCAATGGCTACGGCAAGCAAGTGGGTGCTCAGTGGAGCCTTTTCGAGAACAGCCTAGTAGCTTCGGGCACACCGAGATTTATGCGCTTTGCAATTCTACTTGACAGGGACAACGAGGAGGAGGAGTTTGAGTGCAAAGTCACTATCAATGCCAGCGGGGATTGGAAAACCGTGCTGGGAGGATTGGTTGGGTCCACGCCGCGCGATGATCCTATCCTGTTTGACCCGACTCTGCCGCCTACGAATAAGTTTCGCAAGGCTTACGATATCGAGAACCTGGCATCACTAGACTTGGATGAGTTTGTGGAGATCGAGTTTGATAAGCCTCTGAACAACATTGGGGGAGCAGGAGGTTCAGCTTAACAAGCCTCGGCAGATCTTAGTAGTTTAGGGCAGTAGAATTATGCACGCACGGGCCCGAGTGCCGTGAGGGATTTTATTCGCCGGATCCTGCGAATAGACTTCCAGCTTAACCACGAATGCTTCCTGTCATGTGTACCGTTGCACTATCGGCGGCTAATATACCTACACTAACTACTATGTGAAGCATTTCAAGCCCTACCCATGTCGACCATAGTGACGGTGAGTCTCCACATTCCGGTAAGCACGGAGACAAGACATATTTCGCTGACCGGGATTGTTTCTCTGCGGAAAGTCGGATGAAAGTCAAGGAGGCATTCTTGGAACTTTGGTGAACTTTTTGAGAAACACTGCCAAATCTGACATGTCTGACTCGGAGTCCGTTTCCGGGTCCTCTTCGGGCGATGAGGTCCCGTCTCGACGTTCATCTGTGCAGCATCAAGATGAGAACCAAGTTAAGTATATCGACAGTACTGAGAACTCAAAGATACAGATTGAAGAGAGATGTGAAGATATCAGAGATGAAGCCCCGAATTTCGAGCTTACCCAACCGACAGAAGCTGACACCAAGGCTGAAGTCTTACACCTTGTATGGCAAGAGTCGCCGTCAGACAGTGATACAAGTGCTCAGGCTGCTGAAGCACGACTTATAGAGTAGGTCTCGCACCAACGCCAGGCCTCCGATACTGATGATCTACAGTTTCATCGTTATACCAGGAGTGTATGCAAAGTGGACTGACAACGAGTTTGGGCCGAGCCCTGGATCTGGAAGCTCAGCTTGGGTTACTAAATTCGCTGAGGAAGGCTGGGAGAAGCCCAAGAACGCTCACAGCAGCTGCCGGGTGTTTCGATTTGATTATGACTCTTCCGAAGTCTTCTCTGGTCAGAGATCTCGAGAGGCAATCCATCGGGTTGCCTTAAGATTGCTCAATGAGCTACGCTCAAAGCGTTCTGGCGAGATCAAGGTATGGGATGACTCATCATCTTAACACGGTTTTCAGTCTGACATGGAGACCTACATATAGAAACGTCTGATATACTTCATCACTCATGATATCGGAGGTACTATTGTTAAAGATGCAAGTTCTGAGGCTTTTTGAAATGCTGAGAGTTGTGTAACTTCTACTGACCAAGCTAAGGCTCTCATTACAGCTTCCCTCGATAGGAGCTCATGGCAAGACATATCAGAGATGACACGAGCCTTGGTTAGTAGCCCGATGTATCATACAATTTACTTGATCTGACAAACTATAGGTCTTCAACGGCTGTCCACACCGCCAGAGAGACACTGCCGACATGGAAACGAGGCTAGCTAGCTTTCTCTATACCAACTACTCTCAGGACTCCGGAAAACCACGACCTTCACTGAAATCAATATCAGGGCTCACCAAAGCCATTATCCAAGTGAATGGGCTCTTTGTAACTTCACATATCGCGCTGCGCAGCTGGATAATAAATTTGCACTCTCACGGACTAAACAGCAATGGGGTGAGTGGTTCAACATCAGACGCAGTCTCCGTATAACCCGAGACTGACTTGAGATCAGGGTTTCGACGCTTACTGTGCGACGTTGGGCATACCGTTGGAGAAAAGATTGACAGCACCAACCGGAACGGACTATTCTCCTCTTACTACGTATCTTGCCAAGATAGAGCCAGGTATATTCAAGAGGCTCGGTCATCGCTTTATGAGTATTGCTAAGTGTCTTATCAGATGTGCGGGAGCCGAAAGAATCCATCGGAGCCCGGCAGTATTCCCAAGAGAGAAAGCTTCTTGCTCTGGCGTCTCCAATCTATCCACTTCGAAACAAAGTTGAATTCAACCCCTTGGCCGATCTACCAGCTTATCAATCCTGGTTGAACAGCCCTTGTCCTCAAATACTCTATCTCCACGGTAGCCACCGGGTTAGGGATGTGGCCGAGAGCGTGTTCTATGCACTCGAAGACGAAGCCACAAAAGTGAAACGACGTGCAAACGTTCTATACTTCTCTTTCGATAGGTTCGACGTGCGTGCCGATAGTATTCGGGACATGATAGCTACTTTCTTGGCGCAAATCTGTAACCATCACCCGAAACTCGGACCTGCTATCAATCGACTGTGCAGCCAGATCGAAAATGAGAGGGGATGGACTGAGACAGACCTGATTCAGTTCTTTGAGATGTTCAGAATCTCAGCAGAAGTCGAGCAGACGATGATTGTTATCAATCATTTCGACGACTGCACTAAGAGTTCACGCAAGAGGTTTCTGGATCACATCACTGACAAGTATTACAATGACGAGACCCCCTGGAAGATTGTCGTTACAAGTCATGAGCCGGGTGCTCTGAGTGAAGAGCTGTCGGGTCCTTTTTGTGTGCCTATCGATATATCTTCCGGGGAGTTGGGAGACCTTGATGCGGATGGCTTCGAAAACGACATTCAAGCACTGATAAGCTCAAGGGGGGATCTGACTCTCAACGGAGAGCAGATACTCGAGGAGCTGCGGTTCATGGAAAAGTTAGACCCTCCGGTGCGCCATATTCTATGTGAACAGCTCAGAATTCGGGAAGAATGGCCCGACGAGATGTCGACTGATGATACTCTTGGCTTATTGAGCATTTCAAAACAAGTGGCGGAGGGCGACAGGGCTATGGTATCTGTGCTGAATGCAGTGCTCACGCAATATGTCGACAGGAAATCCCTCGAGTGCCTTTTCTCTTGGCTCCTATATGCTGTCAGGCCACTCACTATCTGGGAGCTTGCCACTGTCCTCTCGTTTTCAGACGAAAGGGAAGGTAATAAAGTGTCTCCAAGCTTCATGGCTGTTGACCGGCTCCTTGAAAAGATTGAGAAGGACTTTGCTGGTATTCTTGAGGTGAATCACAACGAGGTCAGGTTTAAACACCCCTGCTTCCACGAAATCATGGTCAATGGTGATGCTTCAGTACAGAACGCCGAAGATAAGGATTATCTGTGGAACAAGATCAAAGGCAAAGCTCATCATCTCATTCAAAGCATGTGTCTAGACTACCTATCCAGACACACTGTTCAAGAGTATGTCAGAGAGACCTTTGCAGTTGCAGACTCAGCAACTTTCGAGACACCACCTTTCCCAGACCGCACAAACCTTGCTTCATATGCCATACAGGCTTGGGCACATCACTATTCTCTCAGCTCCCCTCTTCCAGACATATCCACCTTGTCATCGAAAAAGGACCTGGTTCAGACCCTCGCCAAAGCCCAGTGGTGTTTATCTAACCCTGCCACCAGACGCTCTCCCTGCTTCCAGTCTCTGTTCCCAATCTTTGCTGGACTTGGCCTCGATAATGTGGTGGAGCCACTAGGTAGTGACGATGCGTTGCGAGGTCTTATCGAAGCAGCAAGTAAAGGACAGAAACAAGTGGTCGAGGATCTTCTTGGTGAATACGACTTCACCCCCGAGGAGACATGGGATGTTCTCAAGGCCGCAAGCTCCTCTGGGAGCGAGGAGCTGATGAAAGCCCTGCTGGAAAAGATAGAGGCCAAGGGGAAGATACCTGACAACTTTGAGTGGCCGCCTGTTTTGATCTATCGGGCTGCCAATCTGGGTCTAGAGGGGTTTGCCGAAAGAATACTCAGTCTTGGATGTCCCGCAGACCCCGACGTCGATTGGAGGAACGAGACATCCATGCAGGCATCCCCTCTATATCAGGCAGCCTGTCATGGGCATACAAATACAGTCCGAGTTCTGTTGAAGCACGGTGCCGATACGAAGTACACGAGCCTTTCTGGAAGAAACCCGCTTCACAAGGCTGCCCTTGAAGGTCACACCGAGACCGTCAAAAGCATTTTGGAAGAGTCACGGGTCAATATTGACTGTGCTTCTGAGTCAAACTTCACTCCCTTATATCTCGCAGTGCTTGGCGGTAACCACAGCACAGTGAAACTGCTATTGGAGAAAGGTGCAGACCCAAATATGGGCATCTCAGATTCTCACACTGGGGATGATCAGTGGACGCCTTTGCATGCGGCGACCGATGACGGTTTCATGAAGTGCATCAGGCTACTTATAGACTACAGAGCCAATCCAAACATTCCTGGGCCGTCTGGACCTCCGTTACATTGGGCAGTTACTCATGCTCGCGTCGATATCCTCGATATGCTTCTCGATGCTGGAGCTGGTCCCTTGGCTGGAATCCTTAAGAAGCCTCTCTTAGTCACAAGCGTCGAGCCAGAGCTAAAAGAAGCTGGTCTTGGTATGCTGCAGAGACTTCTGGAGCTCAAATTAGACGTCAACTGTAAGGACCGTGAGGGCAACACGCTGCTCACCACTCTGATATACTCGTATGCAAACAAACCAGCCAACGAATCTGTCCAAAGAGAGAAGGCTCTGAGAATGCTGATAGAAAATTCAGCTGACCCCAACCTGGCCACCGACGACATGTGGACACCATTGCAATATGCTGTCATAATGAAACAGTACAATGCGGTCGAAATGCTCCTGGAAGCAGGTGCTGATCCGAACATAGCCTATAAAGAGAACCAGGCACCACTTTGCTCTGCGCTTGAGCAGCCCAAGATAGCCCGCCTGTTACTCGATAAAGGTGCAAACCCCAACGTTGGATTCTCCCGCGGGTTCACTCCCCTCACATACGCTGCATGCTTTGGTCACCAGGATGCTGTGGAGGTACTTCTTGAGTACAGAGCGACTGTTGATCTTGAGTATGGCTTTGGAGTTGATGAGCCTTTTAACAATTGGCTCAAGGGCTGGACTCCCCTTATGTGCGCTACATTTCAAGGTCACCATGGAATCGTTCGGATGCTTGCTGAAGCTGGGGCGGAAATGAGTCGACGAGACAAGGAGACAGGGAGGTCAATTGTTCACCTTGCAATATTTGGCGGAACCCTTTCCACTATCTTGGAATTCCCTTCGAGGATTGATCTAAACGCGACAGCGGATAATGGCCTAGGAGCCCTTCACTATCGCGATCTCAAGATCCAAAACCTCAAGCAGCTAGTCAATGCTGGAGCAGACATTGAGATTGGGGCCGGAGAAAGACCTACTCCCCTGCACGTATACGCAGACTGTGACTTTGAGAAGGTGAGATTCATGGTCAACCGCGGAGCTAATGTCAACTCACTATGCCCACATCACGGTTCACCTCTACATCAAGCTTGCAGAGCAGGTCGATTTGATATCATCAAATTCCTTGTTGAGCATGGTGCCAACGTGAATGCAACTGAAGACTTCCTGGGCACGCCTTTGCAAGCCCTATTTCTTTCTCAGAGTCCAATCGACGCGTTAGAACATGAGAACATAGTCCGCTACCTTTTGTCTCAACATGCAGACGTTACTGTCAAAGCTGGTATTTGGGGCTATGCGATTAACTCGGCTGCTCTCGGAAGTCTGCCACCTATCATCAGCCTCGTTCTTGACCAAGAAAACGCTACGGTTAATGTAAAGGATGATATGGGCCGCATGCCTATACATTTGGCGGCCTGTAACGGTTTGGCCAACTTCGAAGCTATTCTGGAGCGAGGGGGCGACATACATGCCAAAGATAAACAAGGACGTACGCCGCTACACTGGGCTGCCCAAACAGGAAAACTCCAAGTTGTCAAGAAGATCATCTCACTAATGGGTGCCAAGTTGGATGTTGATGTCCCAGATATTGATGGTTGGACACCTCTTTGTTGGGCACCTCGCTACGGTTTACCACTACTCAAGCCAGAAAATGTGGGAGAGCCGCCACTGAGTGCTGATGTCGTGAGACTTCTCATTGAGCATGGGGCTAAGACAGATGTGATAGTCAAACAGGGAGAAGAGGCGTGGACTCCCTTGACAATTTCTCAATATCACAGAAGTGATCCAGATGTTGTATCATTATTGTATAGTCGCAGTTCAACAGACGCGGACAATAGTGAGGACACCCCTGAGGAAATAAAGAAGAAGTCAAAAGCTGCATCAAAACTAGGAGTACAACAGGGGGATTCCTACTGTGACTATTGCTTATCGGTTAGTTCTTGGGATCCGTCTCTCAAACATCAGCTAATCTCGATTTACAGCGCATTTTTGGGTTTTATTGGGTTTGCGATACGTGCAAAGGGTTGTGCTTCTGTCATAAATGTTACCAGCACGTTGGTATTCTTCATCCGGGGCATGTCGACTTCACACAAAAAGGCGAAGAAGAATATGAGGAGGGTGAACAGGACGTTTCAGCAACAACTACTTCTGGTTCATCAGACACATACTCCAACTCTGAATCTGACTCTGATTCTGGCTCCAACCACTCAGAAGCGGGGGAAAATAACGAGGAGAGTTCTTAGGATGGATTGGCTCGAAGGGAACGAAGAGCTGTGGGTGTATGTGATTGTATTCCTTCAAATGCCCACGGGACACCAATGAATAAATGATCTTACGTAAAGGTTGATTGATACGTACAGCAGATAACCAGCTCTACACTCATGGTGATCGTGTCCGATGCTCTAACGGCTGAAGTGTCTTGAAACCCACTAGCCAGCAAATCTCCAACCTTCAGGCTCACCAGCTGCATCCTCTGCAGCTTTCAAGGCCTTGTTCTTCTTAGCCACGTACCACTTTGTGATGAGAACAAAGACCACAACCAGGCCACAACCTGTGATGATAACGCCGCCTCCAGTCTGATAGTAAGGTTCCTGGTTTCGGAGGAAGAAGTATGGTGTGAACCAATGGGAAACAGACGAAACACAGTTGGCGTAGGCGATGAGGGCAGCGCGCTTTGTACGGGGACGAGGGACAACAGTTGTCTCCCAAGAGATTTGGATCTAAGGATGAGTTAGTGAACTGCCTTACTGTGGGTGATTATATAGGGGAGAGAACTTACGTTAAGACCAACGAACGGACCAACAACGAGCAGGATCATACAAAAGTATCGGGCGCCGACATTGAGAGTGGTGATCATGACAGCGCAGCCAATTAGAGTAAGAAGGATAGGAACGATGATGTGGTAACCGTGTTCCAATCGACGGCCAGAAGACCACGAGATGCCCATCATCACAAGAAAGGCGATAATAGGAGGAGGAGCCTGAATGAGGTAGGTAGTGGTACCGGAGAATCCGAGGGTAGCGACAATCTTGCATCACTGTTAGTATGTGTGAGAACAAGGACCAAGTATTGCTCACTGATGGGAAGAAGTCCTTGTATGACTGAGCGATGATTAAGAAGAAGTGGATAGCGGCGAAGAGATGGGCAAATGGCTCCTTCATGCACATCCAGAAACCATCCCAGTAGCCGCCAGCATCATCTTCAGCAATGCCACCAGCAGAAACAGTCTGACGATATTGAGCCATAGCGGCCTCTTCCTCAGTGATGAAGTATGTGCCCGTGGAGTCAGGGAAGTTGGGGATGAACCAGAAGCTCACGAGAGCCACCAAGATACTAACAGCACCTGGATGAACAATTAGCGATGTAAACTGTATTGTCGTGCTTGACGACATACCTTCGAGAAGCAGGAACCATTTCCAGGCTCGGAGATTCGCGACGCCCTCCATGTTAGTCAAGATACCAGCAGCTAAAAGACCCGAAAGAGCCTGAGAGATGGTATTTCCCGCATGCCAGATACCCATCCTCATAGGGGACTCATGCTTGGTATACCAGGAAGAAGTCATGAGAGACACAGCAGGTACAAAAGGTCCTTCAGTGAAGCCAATAAGGAAGCGGCAGAGACAGAAGCCCCATCCTGCAGTAACAGCAGGCATACAAATGGTCACGCACGACCAGACAAGCATGCAGCTAGGGAGGAGGATTCGAGGGGTTCCCTTGGCGAGGATAACGTTGGCGGGGATTTGAGAGAGGATGTAGCCCACGTAGAACATGGAGATGCCCGTAGACCAGACTGTATCTGTCATGTGAAGATCTTCTTGCATGCCGGCCAGTCGAGCGTTGGGGACGTTGATTCGATCGAGATAACTGCATCAGTTAGTAAGAGAAACGTGAGTGAAGATAGAATGACTTACTTCATCAAAAGCATGGCTGTGACCATGGGAAGAAACTTCCAGTCGAGCTTGCGAACCAGAGATTTCTCAATGGCAGCTCGTTCCTCTGGAGTCTTGTCCTTGATGAGCGGATAGTGCTCGAGGATCTCATCTCGCACAGGAGCGACCTCCTCATACTCGACATCTCGTTTGATGTCAAAAGACCCAGGTTTTGAGTGAACGGAGCCAGTCATGTTGATGGCAGAACTATGTCTCTCGAAAGGGTTTCAGGAACAATTCAGCAGTGATAAGGTTGAATGGAGAGAGAGTGCTGATGATCATTCCAACAACCGTGGGTATCGTACACTTTTATACATCCCAATCTTTACCCCAACCTGGACAAGTTCTTCCAAGAATGCCAAGATGTTGCAACTCCAGTATGTCTTTCTCGCTCTTTCATCCGAGCTCACTACCGCGGTCTCCCCGCATCCCCGCGTTTGTGGAATAACCTTACAAGTTAGAGTGCGACGTTCGCGGGGGCTAGCGTTCGGACTTCACCCGTCGGCTAGGTTCCGCCAATGAAAGCTTCATGATTCGGGACCGACGGACTTGGCCCGGGGGCTGGGCGATCAAAGCGAGTTACTGATTGCTCCTGATGAGGAAAAGCGCTGCACTATACGACGTAGATGACTTGGGATTTCGGGGGGTATGAAGTCCTGGTAATTCTGCGAGTGTTAACCATATTTTAAGCATATCTACTTTGGGGAAAATGACCTTACCTGCAGGCTGCCCTGTCCCTCCATCATCTTGGTAGACAGTGACAGGAGAAACTGCTGGAAGATGCTCAATGCGGAGAACTTGGATGAGCACTGTGTGAGAAGTATAGAGGCCTTGCTCACTACCTCGAACGTTTGCGTCAAGCCTGTTTGGTTCGGCTGTGGTGCGTGCTGAACCAGACAGACATACGCCACAGCAGCTGCCAAGATATCATATGCGTCTAGGAAAGATACCGTGGTGCCGCTCCCAGACCTACTATAGAGTTTCTCGATGAGTGCCTTGCAGCAACTGATCGTATCGGCTTCCACCTCGCCGTCACTCTCAGCATGGACTTCCGAGTTTGTCAGGCTCTGGTTGTTTGGTCTGACCATGAGGATCAGTGCCCTGCATGCTAACTGGTCCAGGTAGTCGAACTGAAGATTTGTTGGGGTAGTAGTGCCTCCGGCTTGTGGGGGAAACTCTCGCCAGAAGCAGAGGTTACTGTAGGAAAAGAGTGCGTTAGGCTGGTGACTTCCAAGTATATCTGAGATAAGCTGTGCATGGGTGACAAGATGCTTGCTCCAAGCGAGTTTATTCTTGGCTGACCCTGAGGCAGTCTCATCTTCTGTTATGTCTGGTACCTGTTCCGTCGTCAGTAATGGTCGTGTTGAGTCAAATTGGGCGTAATACTGCAACAGAGATGTCAACCTCAGTAATAGTAAATGGCCTACCCATCACAGATGATAGAGACCTACAGTATTCGTCAGTTCAATACATCAACCTAAGGCATTGAACCAACCTATCCCAAAGATACACGCTCCAAAATAGCCACTCAATCCGATACGTGCCCTCAGAATCTGATGTGTTCCTTGGCGGTACAGTTTTGTGCAAGCCTGCGGCAATGCAATTCGTCATGATGAAGCCCATGAGGTGCCACGTTGATCCACCTGAGGCACTAAACATTGAGAAGACTGCAAGCAAAAGCATGCAGTGCAGGGTGTCTAGGGGCTCTTGGGAGTGCAGAATGTAGGGCAACAGCTTAACAGCTGCAGCATGTAGATTGGTAGCCAGTGATGAAAGGCGACCAGCATCAGGTGACATGCTGATGCCTATTGCTATAGATAGGAATATATTGAAGCGAGGCAGTGCGGTTCTAGCGGGATCAATACCTTGGTTGCTCGTCTCCAGTACGGATTCGTACTGCTCAAAAAAGCGGTTTTCATCAATATGGGGGAGCCATACGCTCCAGTCCAGAAACCGCTGGAAGTGACTCAGTGTCAACTCACGTGTAAGTGGGATGAGCTGTTCGTCTATCACATACACCGGTTGCGATGACGAAGCCTTCGAAGGATCTCGACCATCTACAGCCAAGGCTGCCGATATTGACTCGATGATGGCGAGTTTGTGTGGCCTATCACCTGTATTCGTTCGAGACTCCGCCATGGCCTTATTAGACAAGAGGCCGATGGCGCTCATGGTGTCTTGGACACTTGACTGCTCCTCCCCATTGGCAGCGGTCTGTTCATTCACTGGGGCAGATGAGATAGATCCATAATTTGAGCGTCGGCGTTTTCCATTGATGGGCGAAACAGCATCTGCTGTGCCAAAGGAAGTATGTCTGGCTTGAACATGTTTTTGCTCGGCAACCTTTATCTTTTCTTCAAGTTCAGCAACACGACGTCTTAGAGACTCAACGTAACTAATAGGATTAGTAAATGATATGTAAACTGCGAAATCGTCGCTATCACATACCCATTGACTCTTGCGTGCGTCAAAGTAGTATCCTCAGCATTAAAGTCAAACTGCTGAGACCGAGCAATGCAATCAACGCCAAGATCTGCACATGAAGTACACGCCGGACGCAATTTATCGCACTAAGACAAATTAGCTAATACCCCAAAATGCCTGATAGTGACAAGTATCACCTTCTGTTTCCGCTTGAAGCACCGTTCACAAGCGAGACTGTTCTTCTGCGGAGGCTGGGACTGTGACGAACTGGGGCTGCTGGCCCGTGCAGGGCTTGGGAGTGACACGCGGGATAGTTCGCGCCAATCAGTTGCCATTTTGCATGTTTCTTGGATTGATCTGGAGGCGGAGAGAGATACGACACGGAGTGAGCCCGAGGGACGCGTTTGATCGGAGGGGAAGCTGGAGAAGACCCCAGATTTATCGGGCTTGATCCTATAGTCACGTGCGATTTGATCGAAAGTGGCCTAACTTAGTCTGGACGAGCTCCTACTGGGGCATGATGCGGAGAATTACACTTGAAATTAAACAAAACAACTATCTATAAACTATTTTGCGTATACAATATAAACTGGTTCCTTATGCTGCAACTGGGATGCCATTGGCGGCCCCATTTGTGATGCCGTTGCCATTCGTGACAGCCCCGTTCGTTGTACCGTTGGTAACACCATTAGCAGCCTTCTTCTCTACAGAGTGACCATTCGCCTGTTGCGACTTTACAACCGGAGCGTTCAAAGCAGCCATCTCAGTACCTCGCTTGGTAGCAGCACCAAGAAGTAGAGGACCATCAGTCGCAGCCATGACCCAACGAGCTCCCATCTTGCAGAACTTCTCAACAAGATCAAGACGAGCATGAAGACCACCAACACCCAGCCACTTTCCATGCTTCTTACAAGCGGCGATGGTACGCTCGTAAGCCTCAGTAACACGAGGGTTCTCGTAATCTCCAGGAATGCCCATCTCGGCAGTCAAATCATTTGTACCAATGAGAAGAGAGTCAACGCCTGGAAGAGCTGCAATCTCATCGACTAGCTCAAGAGCCTCAAGGGTCTCGATCATGGGGATGACCATGGTAGCCGCGTTTGTGACAGGGTTGGAAACCTTGGCGGGGATGGAGCGGAACTGATGATGGGGGAGACCGTTTGTGGAGGAACGGTGACCAATGGGCTGGAACTTGGCTGCGTTGACGACGTCTTGAGCGTCTTGTACAGAACGAATGTGAGGAACGATGATTCCGAGAGCGCCACCGTCCAGAATTCTTGAGACGAAGAAGGGGTCTTTGCTGGGGGCCCGAACGATGGGGGAGATGCCAGCGTAGAGAGCGGCGACGCAGAGTTGGTTTGTTGTCTCGAGATCAAAGGAGGAGTGCTCCATGTCTACGAGGATGCCATCGTAGCCAGCTGTCTTAGCCATGCCGGCGATTTCGATGGACTTGACGAGCTTGATGCTCATTGTGTAGGCGACTTCATCGCGGAGAAGCTTCTCTCGCATGGGGTGGGGAATAGGTGCAGCCATTGTGAGAGTATTGGATTGATTGAACGAGTTGGACTGGTGTATTGGAGTAGGTGATAGTGGGGATTGGGGATTGGAGATGCTGGTGCTTGATGAGGATAGAAGCGGTCAAGGTGGTTTCTCCAGCATATTAATATACACTTCTCCAAGATCACAAAGAGTCATTTTTCTTCCTCAAGACTCAGATGCAGGATAAGTCCTTCTCCGCGTCCGATCTCGTTCCCCCATCAATTGCCTTCACGCAAATTCAAGGACGGAAGCCGATTGTTGGAGCCGAGAAGATCGTGGGGTCGGAGCGGGGCCGCATGCAACCCCGAAAAGTCATCGGACATTGTCCATCTCACATCGGCATGAAGCCTACGGATAACGGATGCCGCAAAACGGAACAGAAAAAAGAGAAATGATTCACCGGTTTGATCCCGCGGGAGTCACAGGAGCTGGAGTTCGCCTCGAGGGAGATACATAAAAGTGCAAGACTTAAGCCTCTTGTTCTCCAGACAAACACGACCCCACTATCATCACCTTGCATCAGAACTCTCACCTCATTCACCATGGCACCAAGCGCTGTAACAGACACTCCACCAGAGAGTCTCTCTTCTGGGAAGCCAACAGTCTATGTTATGGACGCATTCCACCCTCAAGTTATGGCATACTGCCAAGAGAACTTCAACGCCATTACTCCCGACAACCCCAAACATAGCCAGTGGAGGCAAGAAGCACGCTACCTCCTCATGAGATCCTCTCGTCTGACTGCAGAGGATGTCAAGGCTTGTCACAACTTGATCGCCATCGGCAAGCAAGGCGTTGGCATTGACAAGATTGACGCTGATGCCTGCGCTGCTCGGGGGATCAAGATCTTCAACACTCCTGGTGTTAACGCCCGTGCAGTTGCTGAGCTTGTGTTGACGCTGGCTACTGCATCTGCTCGCCAGGTTGGCTCTATTGTTGCCAAGCAGTCTTCGGGTATCCTTGTACCCAAGGAGAAATGCTCTGGCTTAATTCTGCATCGCAAGACGATCGGCATTCTCGGCATGGGCAACATCGGCAAATGCGTTGCCAGTATCTTCCGAGGCGCTTTTGAAGCAGATGTTATTTCCTATGATCCCTTCCTCCCTGCCGACGCCTGGGCCGATATTCCTCATCAGCGAGCCAGTTCTGTTGAAGAGGTTTTGGAGACTTCAGATGTCATCACCGTTCACATGCCTCTTACTCCACAAACAAGAGACCTCATTAGCTATTCTGAGATGAAGAGGATGAAGCGGACAGCTATTGTCATCAACACCGCACGTGGAGGTATCGTCAACGAGCATGATCTCAAGCGCGCATTATCAGAAGGTCTCATCTGGGGTGCTGGTCTTGATTGTCATGAGGAAGAACCACCAAGCTATGAGAGGTATCACTCACTTTGGGAGGTTGGAGCTGTTAGTACGCCTCATATTGGAGCTGCGACGGCGGAAACACAGATGCAAACGGGAATGGCAGCAGCGAGATATTTGTTGGAGTTTGCGCTAAACAACCCATGAAGATAGCAGAGGCCATTTCAAGTCATAGATCATTTCACAAGAATACGATTAATAGTACCAAGTCCTTTTCTAAAACTCAAAACCGTCCCAAACACTAGGGTTCGTAGGATCTCCATAAACATATTGACCCAGCGCAGACTCCATATTCCATAATGAATCATAGTTCAACAGCGCCCAATTGACCGACGATCCATCTTGATACTCCTCAGATATATCGTTCCCATCTTGTCCTGGAACAGCAAACTGGCTCACCGGGTCCATTAGACCCGATCGCGACTGCAAGCCCTGGTCGAAGAACTGGCGATTCGCTGAGAAGTCTGGCATATTTCCCAAGGAGTTGGGTAGAGTATTCGTACCCAGATCTGGAGAGAAACTTCGCCCGTTGAAGGTGCTCATATCGTTGGAGAAGCCCATGGCTGGACCAACTGGGAGGCTGGCGGGCATATTTGGCACGTTCGGCCACAGCCGTTGTGATACGTCTCTGTGTAGAGCTTCAAAGACAGACACATAGCTCTTTGCGTCCGGGAGCTGTCGGGCAACGCTGTTCAACAGCTCTTGACATCGGAGTAATCCTTGATGGGATGCACGCATGTCTTCCAGAGTAAGCTTCTTGGATACGGAAATGCAGTACATGACCGACAACGCAGCTGTGAAGAGCATGTGAAAGTAGCTCCGTGTATGTGTCATCATCTCTCGCTTCTGGCATATAATGTGATATTTCTCAATAGTCTCCAGCGCTGATCTGAGAAAGACTGTCAGGATTTCTTTTGGTGGAGATCCATTGACCTTTGGGACAAGATCGATAGCACGACGGAGGACAGATAGTCTCTCACGGGCGATGAGCAAGTCGTACCACTCTTGTGTTTCGTACAGACAACTCGGTTCCTGTATGATAGGGTTGCTGTTTCTCCAGTCTTTCAACTCCCTAAACAGCTTTGTCATGACAACGTGAATGTGACCCGCGAGCAAGTGCTTTGATCTGGTATTCGAGATCTTCCGCCTCAGCTTGGAGAATTCAGTCTGTATATGAGACGATATCTGCCTCAGCCGCACAGAGATAAAGAAGACGGTCATTTCGTTTTGAACATTGGGTTCCCGAGTGTAACTGAACGAGTCGAGGCTTTGCACATTCTGACTGGCTGCTTCGAGTTCCTCGTCGCTGACTTCAACTGGGAACTTTGTCTCGATGTCTGCGTCATCAATCAAAAATGGTCGGTCTAAAGTTGTCGAGCTATACCGGTCGATTAGATAGAACTGCCAGAATACTCTCCGTCTGAGCTGTGTTTGCAGGAGATCACCTCGAACATCGGTGCCGTTGTGAAGGCCAAGTTCGATGCAGAGACGTCCGCAGAGCCGAACGACGTCCCAGATGGAAGTACCTACGAAGCTGTCAGCATTGTGCACGATCAAGGTCATGCTAACGAACCGATCGGATGGTAGATGCCGAGTCTACATATCAGCAGCAGATCTTGAACAGAATCGAGGCCCCGGGTCAGAAAGTCGCCGCCGAGATGTTGTAGAGCTGCATTATAGTATGCTTCTGGGTGTCGATGGTGAAGCTTATTGCGGTACGGCAAAACAGCCCCAATAGCACATATCATGAAGGCTCTGAATAGGTCATGGCTTGAGGCTTTGGCGGAGGTGCCCTGGCCATTGAAGAGACGTTGATGCAGTGCCCAGATACTTCTACGGAGGAGAAATGGGTTTTGTATGTGTGCCCAACTCAAGCTGCAGTACCATTAGTCAATGACTCAAGATTGGATCGGTGTAACGGACTATTTTTCGAACAGCATTTGTGTCTCTACTGCGGATGGCAGAGAGCACGGCGCTATCGAGACTTCATCGGTACCTGGTGCATCAGCCAATGTTCTGAGTAAAGTCGCATGTGACTTTCTCCAGTTTGCGTCAGAGAACAAATGCGCGATAAAGCTATCAGAAAATGTTAGCTGACACTTCCTTGAGGAATAGCACTGTGACACAAACCTCAGGCTTGCGCCCTCGCGTGTAGCGGGAGAAGATGCTGCTATCGACCTCACGGTATGCCTGTCATCTGGACTCGAGGTATCCACCGTGCTTGGGTCAGTGACTGCGATTGACTCAAGTTCTTGAAGCCTGTTGGACAATTCCTGCTCCTTTCTCTCGAGCTCATAGATCATGCTACATTATAACTATTGTCAGAATGGGTAAGATGAGGCATTATTAGAGACCTACGCTCGCGACAACGGGCCATTATTGTCGGAGTCAATACACGCGACAAGACATTCTTGTCCATTCCGTGTACAAAGAGAGCAACTTGGCCTATTATTATCACACTGAATTTTTTTCCATCAGCAAGGTAATTGAACGTGCAACTACCAAGTCTAACCTTTGTCTTCTTCTGGGCGCAAGATTGACAGGCTGGGAGTCTTGGGAGACGCGACATCCTCTTCCTTACACGATTGGCTGGGACCAAAGCTGGGGTTGTTGGAAGACAAAATCTGGGGAGCGACTTGGTATAGATGCTCTTATGAGGAGTTTACGGAAATAGAGGGGATGAATCACGTGCTGCACCCCGCAAAATGTTCACTAGAGTAGGAATAAGTCAAGTTTGGCGTGTTTTGAGGTACCAATATTTGCTACAGCTAAAATATTATTTACAGAACCATCAACCTAAAAGCTTCACTATAGTAATCCCATCCTAAAGGTTCTCTTTTCTAGATACTTAATATCTGTTCTCGACATGTTTTGAGACTACAGACTCCTGATCTTTCATCTCAGGCTCGAGGATCTCGCGAGCCGCAGGCTTCAAATCATCCGCAGTAGGGTAGGCGATCTTATGCACCGTGTACCAGGGTCTCTCGAACAATTTATCCATGCTCTCCAAAGATCGACCAGAGGTCTCAGGCATAGCAAAATAAACATAAACAAGAGAGACAGTGCAGATACTAAGGAAGAACATAAAAGCTCCATAACGCTGAGTCGCTGCCAAGAGGGACGGCATCGCACGTGAGCAACCGAAATACATGGCCCAATGAACAGCCATAAGGATGGAAACGTTGATAGAGCGAATTCTAAGAGGAAAGACTTCGGCTGAGACGAGATAGGGAATGGAGAACCAGCCGATGGACCAAGCGATGGCGTGGATGTAGATAGCCGCAATAGCTGCGCGACTAGCGGCCATGGCAGATGAGCTTGCCTCAATCTTCTCGGGAGTCCAGCCATTGGTGACCTTTAGGTAAGCACCGACGAAAGCCAGAGTAAAGATCTGCATGGTGATACCCGTCATGAGAGATCGACGTCTGCCGATGAAGTCGATGACAAACACAGAGAAGATGAGGACCGACACAAACTTCAAGATGGCGTAGCAGCCAGTTGCAAGGAAGCGAGCTTCAGTGCCCTCAATGCCCAGATACCCAAAGATAGTAGGGCTGTACTGAGTGATGGCGTTGGCGCCTGACCACTGTCCAAAGACATGACAAGCAAACATGAGAACAAAGCGTCGTCGGTTAGAAAGATCCGTGAATGTCTCCTTGATCAAGTCCCAAGTATTGGCACCAGAAACAATCTCAATCTCATGGTTCAGCTGGCTCTCAATACCCTGAAACTCAGATTGAACATAAGGATGATCTTCTGGAAGTCCTCGGAATCGAGACAGCGTTGCAAGTGCTTCTGTTCTCTTGTTCTGGCTGAGCAAGAAGCGAGGAGTTTCGGGAGTGAAGAATGTGCCGACACCCCAGATGAGAGCTGGGATGAGCTGAAGTGCGGTAGGGAGCTGCCATTGCAGGTTTGTTCCGGCGTGGTATTTGGTGACACCGTAGTTGAAGAAGAAACCGAAGACGACGCCGAGCTGTTGACAGCAGGTGTATTGGAGAGTCAAGAGACCACGGATAGGTTGAGGTGAGATCTGAAAAAAGCTACGGGTTAGTCGGAGACCGTAAAGAGTCAAGGAGAAGGCATACCTCTGCGATGTAGACCGAAGGCAAGACAGTTGTCGCGCCAATGCCAATACCAGCAATGACACGAGTGGCATAAAGAGCACCAAGATTTCCACTACTGAATGTCTGACCAAAGATACCAGCCATATAGACAACAGTGAAAAACTGAAAGGTGCGAGTTCGGCCAAGACGCTGGGTGAGCCAAACACAACCCAGACATCCAAAGACAGCACCAGCCGTAGCGATAGCCACGATCCAGCCTTTTGTGTTTGCATATTCATGATCGGTCTGGTTATCGATTCCGAAACGCTCTTTGAAGACCTCCATGATGACGAGGGAGGCAATGTTTCCTGCATCGATGCTAAGTGATTAGTTGGAGTTGGCGGCGGGTGGATGTGAGACTAACCTTCATCGAAACCCTTGGCGACACCAGAGAAACTCCAGATGCAGGTGCACGCAAGGAGATACCAGTTGAAGATCTCCTTGGGACTGTCTTTGATGGCCCGTCTCGTGGCCTTGATCATATTCGGTCTCGCCATGTTGAGCTGAGTGTACGGGTGAAGGATAGGTGAATGAGAAGGAAGATAGGAGCTTGGAGCTGAGGAAACAAGATTATGAACAGGAGAAAGGGGGCTAATTATATCCTACCCAGACTCGCAGAGAGCCTTTCCCCAGAGAGTCAACGGGGATCGCCGATTCCAAGCGTGGAGAAAAAATGTAACGCTCACGTCGCGGAGAAAAAAGGCGGGGATAATCTTGGTTCCCCGAGATTCGAGTCTTCCCCAGACCTCGGAGTGGGCCCCTTGTTTAGCGTGGAGTCAAAGTGTCATCGGAGCTTGTCCTAGTGTTATCGGGCTGGACCCGGAGGAGGTTTCGGAGCGTAGATTTGAGGAAGTTGCTGACAGAGATGGGTTACCCCTCGTCACGAGTCAATCATAGTGTTACATTGGAGAACGCCCCGGCAAACGATCCGGTAAGTTGCGCCGACAGATGGGATGAGTTAAGCTGGCGCTGGTGGGTTGAGTCAGAGTGTGCGGAGATGATACCATGTCATGAAGTCTTGAGCGAACTGACATTGAGGATTACGGTGAGGGTGTTATGAAACTGGCGCTCAGACTGTTGATTGAATTGCGCAGATTGCCTCTAGGAAGCTACCGTGAGTCTGGACTCTTGAGTCATCGCCTTGTTTGGGAAAGGACAATGGGATCAGAATGCAATAAGCCATCAGACGCTTCTCATGTCTCCTCACTCATGAGATAAGAGAAATGACTGATCAACTACAAGACACTGTTAAATAAGTAAAATGAAATGCGGTGGCAGATTCAAAGCTTCGTCATTACTACTCTTTACTTTGTTTCAGCGCTGGTGCAGCTACAGCTCCCCGACAATGCCACTCCACCTTCTGAATATTTCCCTCCAAGCTATCAGTAATAAACAAAGTCTTATGCTCCGGCCCCCCAAAACAGCAATTCGTCAGATTGATCCTTGGCGATCCGCTCACAATTCGAGCCTTGGGTATACCATGTGTATCCACCACAAAGACCGAACCAAGACTTGGATGACAGATGAACAGATTACCCTCCTCGTCAAGTGCAAGACCATCAGGACCCGCGCTGCCAAAAGACTGGAAGAACACGCCGGCTTTGGAGGTAGTGCCGTCTGCGTGGAGGGGTAGGCGCCAGACCTGGTTTGCCCGTGTCATGGCTACGTAGAGGAAGCGCTCGTCTCGGGAGAGGACGAGACCATTAGGCGAGGGGCCATTATCAAGTAGAGTGTCGAGTCTTCCATCTGGCGATAACCGGTAGACACGACCTGTTGGATCTGTCATGCCGGTTTGGCCTTGGTCCGTGAAGTAGAGATTGCCCTTTGAGTCAACGATCAAGTCATTGGGTCCTTTGAACCGCTCGAGATTCTTTCTTGTCAGCTTTGCACCAATCTTGCCTGTCTCTGGATTAAACGACAGTATACCCTATTGTAGTCAGTATCACTCATAAACCTAGGGACAAGTGCATTACCTGCTTGTAGTCCGCGACCAACAAATCCCCATCGGGAGTCCCCACGAGCCCATTCGGCTCGCCATCCCAAGTGCACGCAACTGTGACATTCCTGTCGACATCAATCTTGAGGATGCGACCGTAAGGAACATCCACGACATAGAGATTCCCACCGCTGTCGACAACGGGCCCCTCGAGAAAGATGTGCTGGAACGGCCCCGCAAAGCCCCCGCGCCATTCTGACTCTTGACCTAAGCAGCGCTTATCGTCTGGGATGCGCAGATATATTTCTGCTTTGACAACGGGGGGCGCAGGGTAGAAGTTCATTTCGGAGGATATGCAGAGCTTGGCTGAAGATGGCGGCCGTAAGATGCTGTTGGAATATTTTATAGGTGTTTGGTGTTGGGCCGTTTTGGGGTAAGCTGCTGTGCGGAGGAACTCCGATGGGTCTGGTGTTATGGCTTGGGGATTAGTCAGGCTTGAGTCAAAATTGGAGACCCAGTCACTTCACGCAGCGGCATCACCAATGTCCTCTGATGTCTGTTTCGATAATTTGGGCCTAGCTAAAACCGTAGTCAATGCTACTGAAATATAAAAATCACTTATTTGTCTTTAATCAGGATTTGAATATGTATTTGCTAATAAAATAGCAATAATTTGTATGTTAGTTTGGCTAGAGAAGGTCAGAAATAGAAGCTATTGGTTCCACATTCGTCCTGGCGTGCCTCCTTTAAGTCTACAGAGGCGTTAAGTCCATAGTCCTGACACATGGCGTATATATAAGATTTATCACCCAGATAGTCTATATAGTAGGCAATATATCCTTAATTAAAGCTTTTAAGCTAATCTTTATCTGCTCTAGAGAAAAATATTTCTGCCATTCTTTAAGTATATAGGCAATTAATTCTCTAGGAAATAGTATTTTCCAAATTAAAAAAGATTAATAAAAATAATTCTTTACTATATTAAATATAGGATATAAATATATATCTAAAGTTAGGACAATATTAAGCAGGATAATATTTCTTTTGCATTAAGGACAGTTAATGCAGAGCTTATAAGTCACTTTTGCACTATGGTTATAGGCGCAGATAAAGAATATCTTAAAGTCAAGTGTCGCTACAACATTGGCGCAGTCGCGAGCCATTAAACTCTGGCTTAGAGGATTTACCGTGTCTATAAAGGTCTATTAACACAATGCTATACTTATGCATAAGGGATGGGACCACATCGCGCCGATAATAATGGCTTTTGTCGGGGAAGTAACCATGTAGTCGAGTAGCGGGGAAAAGGGTTTAGATCCCTGTCTGTCACTCTTCTTGCCAAAGATTGTAATAAGAGGACCAGACTGCACCCCGACAGATGAGACGATGTCTTGGTACCTTGACAAAGGATATTATTTGATTGAAAAAAACAGTCTCAACAATACCCAATTTGGTACAACTTGTGCAATTGTCTTGCTATGCCGAGTTATTTCCATGATCAAATTGGCATGTTGCTTGCCATAACTGACCCTCTCAACCGATGGAGCCCCTGCAGCTTGGATTTCAGCCCTTGTTTTTGACCGTTAAATAAAGTGGCTATGATGTTGACTGCGACATCTATTGCCAATTTTGCGGAGTGGCTGTCCAGCTGGCCGCAACAATTAGTTGATGGCCGTTTTCGGGTTTGATGCAAACCCCGTGAAACTCCCAAAATGGCTTGCTTGACCGGTTGCAGCCATAGCCTACCCTCCTTCAAGTTGGGCAAATAATTTAAACCTATTACAATTAACATGTGATAAACTGCTAGGGTAAACTACAGATACCACGGTGAAGAGGAGCCAAAAATAAGAGACGAAAGATGATCTCCAATTTATGTAATAAACGACGTTTAAAAGAGACTCTTCGAGATCGGCCATGGAATCGAGAATCTGCAGGCACCGACCTGTCTTACAGAAGACTCAAGGACTTTGGAGAATTGGGGCGGTTACCTAGTTGTGGTTTTAATGCTGCAAAGGGACAGAAACTACAGTCTATCATTGCTCGGTTAAAAGATGATTACCCCTGTTGTTTATAAGCAGACACGTGCACCCACTGATAAACCCACAATTTTTGTTCTAGGTAACGAATAAGAAAAAAGGCCCTTGACTGGACGCGGGGAATGGTACGTCTTAAAAAGTTTAATAACTTCGCCTTCCATTCTTACAACCCTATCTCTTGTGTTTTGGGTTGCCAGGCCTACCAAACGTCTATCAGTGCAACATTTCACGCTCTTCTTTTCTACTAATTTTCTCATTTATTTGTCTTTTAACCATCGCTATTGAGCTCAAATTTAACTAAAGGGTGGCGCCGAGCGTCGTCTCGGCGCACTCGTTATCACTTGGAGTCATGATGATCATTACCAAGAACCATTGACGAGCGGCATCGCCGACCTACAATGGTGGATCAACACGGGGTATTGGGATCACGACCCTGATATACCCTTGCCTGTTGCTGGGGACGATACGATTCAAAGTTTTGCTGGAACTGCAACGTGTTACGAAGCACCATCCTTTAACGACACGTCGCCAGCAGTTGAGCAATACCAGTCTGTTGAACCCGACAACGCGCAAGTAAGACTACGCCTACTTCCTGGTTCTCTTCAACCTTCATTTGTCCATACTCCTGTTTCCATATTGGAACCATCGTCTCCGTCAAGATCCACAGCGGCCTTATGCGATAACTCGAGTTCTTTGAGCTCCACCGCAATTGTTCCATATGGATCAAGAGCTTCGCCACCGGCATTGTCAAGGCCCGCCTCCCAACCATGTGACTTTTGCGGGGCATTCTTTGACAACGCCGCCTATCTCTGGTATGTGTGACCCTTCTGTTGTATTATGACTGAATTTTAATATATTATAGCACTCATATAGTTTTACACCATTCTCCCTCAAAACCATTTCATTGCGGAAGAAGGACCTGTGTGACCCTTGGTAGCAAGAGGTCTCTTGAACGGCACTTGACAAATGCTCATTTCTGTGCGGTATATATCTGCTGCTGTGGATACCCAAGTCGCAAAGATAAGCATTGTGAACATTTACGAAGATGTGCATACGCGGGCAACAGTTACCGGTGTAGATGTGGACATACCGAAAACGAAAAGCGTGCACACAAAGTTCACATTGATGAATGTGGTAAACGAAAGAAAGGCAGACCAAAGAAACAGAAAACGGATAGTGGATAATTTTGGATCCAAGAGTAGCTCCTGGATGAAATGGGTAGTCTTCCGAGGTTGTGATGCCTTGTGCACCTGCGCATGACCGATGAGGCTTTGTGGACTGTACAATGATCTGTTTTGGCTCAGATGACTGTTTGCATTGTTTAAGACTGGAATGACTTATCTGTTTTCTTTTGACAAAAGGAACAGCTCGTGGGGTACACATAAGCCATCACTGTCTTGAAAACGCTGCTATTCTTGTAATCTGGGTCAACGAAGTTATTAAATTAGTTATGTGGACTAAGGGAGGTGGCAGGTGCACCCTACGGGCTGTTTCGATTTGTCAAGATATCGTGAAGCTGGCTGTTACCTTTTCATGTGAATATAACTAAGAATAATAATTTAAATAAAATACATTATTTATAACATTTATTTAGATAGTTATTTCTAATAATGCTATTAAAATGTTAGATATTTAGGTCTTAACTAAATAATTAAAGTTAAAGAATGAGAAATAGTATTACTTTTATATAAATATATAATTATTATATAATTGCTGAGATACATCTTTATATATTTCTTTTTAACATTGTAAAGAGATTAATATTATACTAATAAACATGTGCTCCAACTTAAGACGCAACTTCTGATGCAAGTGAGCTGGAGTAGGTATGGGTTACGCATGACTCTCATAATGTTGCCGAATCTTGTCAATGACTCAAGCTCAGTTATAGAGTTTATGTGTTTGAATCGTAAGAGGCCAGATAGCTGACTAGGTAACCCTTCGCTTCCTTGTAATCTTGTAAATGTGAAGTGTCTGAAACTTGGATCTGAAGTAAGAAAACAATAGATCTATAAGCTTCACGTTATTAAATACTTAAAGATTAAGTTTAGAGCTATTGGTCGAGGCATGTGACAAGGTTGATGTATGGCAGTTAATAACTTTACGCGACACCATATCCATATTTCGCGCCATACAGCACCTGCGTCTTAGAGTCAAATGGTGTGCATAAGTCATCCAAAAGTAATTTTCACTTTGCTTGCCCTAATTTCACAAGCATCTAATCTTGTAGGTCCTTTTGAATATAAGAAGCTGTTGCAACCTTTCTCCTAACGTTCCATTATCATATAACAGTCTACTGTGCTATTTAATATCGGGAAGCAGGAGATCAAACATGACCGGAAAATATGGTATTGCAGCACTGCCATCGAGATGGTAAGCCCTATTTGCAGTCAGTTTTGGACTACGTATTAACATATAGCAGTCTATAGATATCAAAAAAGATACTTTGTTCAATAACGCGACCCGCTACCTCCATGCCACAAATGATAATCCACTCCAATGCCACTCCAATGCAGCCGACAGATCTGGCGCATATGTATACGTGCTTGATTCTGGTATAGATTTCTCGCATGCTGAACTCTCTGGCAGAGCTTTTCACGGCGCAAACTTCGTCCCAGGGTCACCAGATTACGACGAACTGGGCCATGGCACCCAGATTGTAGGAATTATCGGGAGGGACTACGAGTGGTGTGGCCAAAGATCGCACCATGATTTTGGTCAAGGTGGTGGATAAATTGGGAGTGAGCAGAATCGGGTGGCTCTGCCAGGCCATACTGTGGGCTCCTGATGCTTCTATTGCAAAGGGCATTGCTGACAAGAGCGTCATGAACATATCCCTAGGGGGGGAATACACTACTATTATCAACACCGCCGTAAAAGCTACCAATGCTGGCATCGCGGTGGTTGTTTTAGCAGGTAACAGCGGGGTTACCGCTTTTATCTACTCCCCTGCCTCGACCATCACCGCCATCACAGTCGCTGCGAATAGCCCCAATAACCGCCGCGCTCCCTTTTCCAACTACGGACCCTGCGTTAACATATTCGCTCCAGGTGTCGGCATTACTAGTACCTCGATCTCGGTTGAGCAGGAGAGTAGGCGTTATTCTGGCACGAGCTCGGCAACTGCGTATGTCATGGGTCTAGCTGCATACTTTATTTCCAGAGAGGACTTGAGAGGCTACAGGGCCGTGAGGAAGCGAGTTTGAACGGAGTGATAAAAGATTCTCGTTGGAGCAGCAATCGCCTTGCATTTAGCGGAGTGCTTAGAGATTGAACCCCCTAGAACAACTTGAGTAGCAGTTAAATAAACCGTCCTATATACTCAATCTGCGCTTCGTATTTTCACTCTGCCATCCCTTTGCTCTCTCAAATCCATTTTTACCGTCGTAGAAATCTTCAAAAGCCTGGCGAATACCGTCAGCACTAGTTGATACAAATGGCCCATGCTGGACGATTGGTTGATCAAGGATCTGGCCGGCGATTAACAGAAGGCGAGCGCTGGAACCTTGGTTCTCAGCAACCTGGATAGAAACGGCATCTCCTCCTGGTTTATATAACACCGTCCCATGCTGATCCACCCTCGTCGAGGTGCCGTTTGGAGATGCGAAATCAGCAGAACCTTCAAATACAAAAGAGAATGCATTCCAATCCTTAGGTAGCGGTTGAACTAGGGTACCACCTGGTTGAATCTCAACATCTAGATACCACACAGGGGTATACGACAAGTCTTTGACGCCATCGACGTCGCCGACCTTGCCTGATATAACCTTGGCAAGAACCTTGCCATTGTCTAGATGCACGAGCGGGATCTCTTTGGCTCTCACATCTCGATATCTGGGCTCACACATCTTGAGATGTTTCGGAAGGTCGACCCACAACTGTAAGCCAGCACCTTGGCTTCCATCAGGGCTCGGGACAGGCTGTTCGGAATGCATAATGCCTCTGCCCGCAGTCATAAACTGCAAGTCTCCAGCATTCAAAATGCCCCTGTTCCCAGCACAGTCCTCATGCTCAATAGCGCCCTTGAGGATGTAAGTCACTGTTTCTTGTCCTCGGTGGGGGTGATCGGGGAATCCTGCACCGTTGCCCCCATTCATGTAGTCAAGCATAAGGAATGGTGAGAAGTTGCGCTGTTGTCGGCTGCCAATGGAGCGTCGTACTCTAGCTCCAGCGCCTTCAGACTGTTCGAGCGCGGTGAAGATTTTACTTATCGCTCTCAGGTCCGGCATTGTCGATAATTGGTTATAGTGACGAGGGTGCCGGTCGATAGCTTCTGTGCCAACAATGTATGAGTTTTAGGAGGCTGAGCTGAGTCTTGTGTAGCGATTTCGATAATCTGTTTAAGACTTGACCAGGCGATAATGTTCATATATATTTGTGGGCACATATACTAGAACTCGGGTCAAGTCTTTACTGAGTAGAGAGTTGCTAATTATTAATGCTTACAAAATTTAGTCAATAGGCTGAGATAACTGAGTGTAGCACGAGGAAGTGCTATGACAAATCACCCGCGCGGCAGCTCGTCCTTTAGGTAGCTTGCCGCGCGGGAAGCCCGCTGAACAAACCACCAAAGCATGGTCCAAGATCGCTGCTCCTCTCGATGAAATCCGTGGTTATTGCGCCTAAATGTAATCTAAGTATTTGTTCTAACCGGTTTAAAGAACGTAATGGCAATCCTCTACTTCGAATCAAACAAGCCGTTTTACATTATCAAGTATGGACGGCATAGACGGAATATTGCCACGAAAAAAACTTAAAGCGATCATTGAGTCCTGTTATCAAGATTTAAGGTGCTAAGGGCAGACTTAACCTTGCTTTTGGTCAAGCGTAAGGATGGAATGTCCATGAAGGCAGTGACGGCAAGATGTGAGTTTGTCTCTAACTAAAGCCAGAACATTGCGGCGGATGAGAAACAAGATGTCAATAATTAGCACTAGCTATAGATAATATTAAATTGTTCCCCTTCTTACTTATACGAAGGACTCATACACGCCCCATATACTCGTAACTTGTAAGTTCACGAAGCCTGCTAACTATTCTAGTTCTCTGCCAGTTCTGACCGCCTACTCCATCGTCGCCACCATCTCAGTCCAGACTCTTGCGATATCGCACCATCAATATCAGCCTCTGCCAAAGATGTCATACAATCAATTTCCCAACCGAAGACGAGTGATACAAGCATGCGTCAACTGCCGCATGCGCAAGACGCGCTGTGACGCTGCCCAGCCAAGATGCGGCCTCTGCGCTTCACAGAATGTCGATTGCGTCTACCGAGATGCGAAACAACCCAAGATTGACTACAACACTCAAGTCCTCCTGGAGCGGATGCAGCTTCTCGAGGACCGCATCCTTTCGTCAAATTCATCTTCGCAGGCTCAGAGAGCTCCGCTGGAAGCGTCACCTATGACCCATCATGATCCACAGCATGACTCAACCGCTGAGGGTCGAGAGCCTGTGTTTGAAGTTCAAATACCTCTGTCACATACGGCCAACGCCAATCACGTTTTCTCATGGAGCTTGGTCCAGACACTGCTATCAGAGAACAGCACAGATCAACAGGACTTGCTGAGGTATGCAGATGCAACTGAAGTTTTCTTTCAAGAGCAGCAGAACAGCAAACATCCCTCAACCACGTCACAGCCTCCTTCCTCGTGGAAGCTCTACGATAGCTCATACTTTAGCTCATGCCCTGACGATGGTGTTGCTCGACTGCACGACTTGATTCACCTCTATTTTACAAAAGTCAACATTTTCTTCCCTCTGCTATTGAAGAACGATATTCTGAAGATCTTCGAGAGTGTAACAGCGAGAGAGGTTTATGGAAATGAAGAGACACCGATGGTTAATATGCCGCAATATGGTCTGCTTCTCGTGGTTCTTTGCCTGGCACTGTTGAGTTCGAGTGGGCAGTCTGACATATCCATCGAAAAGAACTATAAACCACTCTTAAATAGCGCAAACATTCCTGAGGATCAGCTGAGAAGCGAACTTTGGAGCAAAGTGAGATTTGTACTGGGTTACACCTCTACTGATATGTCATTAGAAGCTGCTCAGACCAGCATGCTCGCTAGGTGAGTTATCATTCTGCACCTTGTAGAACTGACTGACAACTCAGCATCTACATGGGTGCATCAGGTGCAGTAGCAGAAGCTTTTTACTGGGCGCACGCAACGGCCGTCAAGTGCGAGACCATGGCCCGATTGCAAACAAAGAACGAGAGTATCTCCGACGGCTTCCGTCGCTTGTACTGGATATCCTTCATATACGAATGTGACTTCATATCCGAGATATCCATTGTATCACCATCTGGTATAGCAAGATATGAAGATAAAATCCCATACCCAGCCTTTACTGCTGAAATCCACCCTATCTCGCCATCCGCACCAGAGTCATCAGAAGCAACCTCGATAAGAAGCCAGGAAGAGCTCGTCGCGTTTCAAATAACCACAAACTCCGCCATCAGACGCTTTCTGAACACTGTCAACAGTGTTGTTTATGATGATAAGGAGCAGTTTCGTACCAGGCGATCAAATTACGCATCTTGGCTGCTCAGAATATCGGAAGATCTCTGGTCACATCACTCTGCCATTTACCGCAATCTCCCTGAGTTCCTCTTGAGCAATCCATCCCAAGACATTCCAATGACGGGTGCCGACACAAGCTCTCCTGCGAGTCTGCAATCACCAACGGCGCGTATCCAGGGCATTCCAGTCGGTAATAACTCATGGAACATCTTGAGACTCAAGGGGAGATACTATGCAGGCCAATACATCATACACAGGCCTTTCATCGAGTTCATCGTTCTCAACATCGACAACTTCGAATCGCATCCTTGCAAAGACGCAGTCCTGAAACGGTCCAAGTCTTGTTTGGATGGATGCACTGGGTTTATCAAGGTATTTGATGTCCAGACGGTGAATAGCTTGACATGTTTATTCCCCACTGGGATGGTGTGAGTGGCCCTGCCGCTATTTCTTTGGTCAATACTAATGATTTCCTTTCTCAAGTACCTTTACTATGACTATCATCCTGATGGTTGCCACCATCTTTCCACTGTTCAGGGATCTGTTGTCTGACGATGTGGAGGATGTAATTCTGAGTGGGAAGAGAAATCTCGCTCGTTTCAGCCAGAGCGTAGCAGAGTTTTCATGGCATATCGAAATACTGGAGAGGCTTGATGTGGCACGGAAAAATAAAATAGCAAGACAAGGGGAATGACAAATACTACTTGACTTATAATTCCATGTCTAAACTGATTTTGTTTACAGATGTAGATATTAATTTTTTTTTTGTATTGAACTTAAGCTTGATACATAGTATGTCTAATGTCAAGCCTATGCTGCAACAGGTACAGGTTGGGCTTGCGGGTGTTGTTGTTTCTTCAGCTCGGCTTTCAGCTTCTCCTCCGGCGACAGCTCAAAGATACCAACACCTGAGACAGATGCCTCCTTAGACGCCACCTCACTTGCAGTGCCTTCTGATTCAATGACCTTTCCTTCCAGCCTCTTATCACCAGCCTTCATGGGGGCATATGTCTTGAGAAGCTCATTCAACTGCTCCCTCTGCATGCAATTCTCATACTTCCAGCTTGCAGCGAGTTCGTCCAGTTCCTCAAAGGTCTTGTCCTTGAAATAATCCGCCCACTCGGGGATCATGTACTCGGCCATGGTGATGCCTCGGATGCCGCGGAAGACGTGCATGTGCATGCGCCACTGCCAGGGGTACTTCTTGGAGTACTGTGCAGGCACTTTATCTTCGAACCACTGGTGCAGTGGACCGAAAAGGCCGTCTTGGAGATGTGCATCGTCGTAGGCCCATGAGTCGACGGCGAGATCGCGTTTCTTCTTGATGATGGGTCCGAGAAGCTTGAGCCAGGCAGAGTCTGGGGAGACGTGGGTCATGCCCATGACGTTAACGTCTTTGTATGCCCAGATCGACCACGCTGAGCTGTGTTAGTTTTTCACACGGAATAGAGTCTTGGGTGACGTACCAATGCTCTCCGATGTGTAGATAGCCATCTGTCGATCCAGCATATCGTATCGCTCTTGGTTCTGGACTTCCCAGTCTGGGTTATACTCCTTTCGTTCGTAAATGGGACCGAATTCACCTGCAGACAGAGGTTAGCTTAGGTCATCCAGAGAACCCCATGAGACTTACCGTTCCAGATTGGCACCTTGTGTTTCTTCATAAACTCCACCTTGCGATCGTACATTCTACGAATGTAACTCTCCTGCTCTTTTGTACCTTGGAATCTACCGATTCGGTTCGGAAATCCAAAACCACAGTAGTCATGGATGGCGTATACCGAGTTGTCCCATACTCTGTCGAAGCCTGTGAAGTCCATGCTGAATCTGTATCGACGCTCGTCAGTACGTCTTCAGAAGGAGAACTCGATGGATGATACTCACGTGTTGCCTTCTAAGAACAGGATATGATCAGGATCGATATTCCTAATTGCCGGCACGATACGGTCGTAGAATGCCAACAAACGAGTCCACTCAGAGTCCGCAGGCTCGTTCATGGGGTTGTAGCCAGCAACCCATGGATTCCCTTTGTATCTTCGGGCAATATGTTCCCACAGGTTGATCGCCCGGTCTTGGAAGTGTTTGTGGTCCCAGAAGGCGGCGTATCCGGTTGGGTTATCGCAGTGCCAATCCTGGTTCTGTCCACCAGGTAGGGCGTGAAGGTCGAGGATAGTGTAGATACCATATTTGGCGCACTGTGGTTTCGCTCTATGTTAGCAGCTGGCGGGAAGTAAAGTTGTTGCGACTTACAAGATTGATGACTCGGTCGACATGCTTAAAACCCTCTTCCTTGATAACGAATGGGTTCATGTCATCTTCAAAGTGTCTGTAGTTGAGGCATAATCGCAGGCAGTTGAAGTTCAAGGAAGCAAGGAATTCAGCATCTTTTTCACCAAAGAAATATTCGAGGAACTTGTCGAAGAAGAAGTCGTGCTTCTCTTTGCCAAGCACCTTCAGAAGCGCTGCTCGGATCTGGTGTTCTCGTCCGGGGAAGCCATTCATGAAGTTCTCCATGAGCATCCAGCCGCCGAGGGCAGTCTGTGATGATAGCGTCAATACATCGCAATTTACGATACATCATGAGAGCGTGTAGAATGGGCATGACGACTTACACCGCGCAAGAGTACTGCATCACCGTTCGCGTCGACAATACGATCGGAGTCTGTCTTTAGGATTCCGGTAGCCATGATTGAAGTCAGCAGCCAGTGAATTGGTCAATAACAGTGTAAATAATCCAGAAACAGGCGCGCATGGACTGGTCCTAAATACCCCATGACATCTACTTCCCCGAGATATATCCACTCTGCACATATCATCATTATACCAATGATGTTAGCTCATGAGGACCGTGTATTACCGAGGATACGCAACCCTCTATTGAGCATCAGAATCCCTCGGGGGAGTCAATTCCTTGCCCCGAGACCAAGCTTGGGAGGAGGCGAGCCAATCATAGCTCTTCGGGGCAGCTAAAATCTAACCCCGACATTATCAAAGTGGAACACGAGTCGTGAAAATACGTAGGGGCAACGATTTAGTTCCCCCGAGACGCCATGATTGGTACATCTCGATCCTCCTTCTCCGCAGCATCTTGCTAATGACTATGAGCAATTCTCTGGCGAAGCAAAGACTTCACAGCTTCCCCGATGGGTTGACTTTACCCGACACATGGAACGATCCCCATGAGCAACATGCGGAGTTCCCCAGAGAATTGGTCTCGACCCCGCAAAGTTTAGCTGCAACGCTATCGAATTGATGGGGTGAATGACACCCGAGTTTTCGGATGCTAACCAGGTGCACTCTAGGTCGGCAGACAATATAGGCAAAAGCAAGTCTCTCACTCCCGGTTTTTTATCACATCACAAACACATATATAAGACAACCTACCATGCAAGGTGACTTGCTCTTATCTCCTTCATCACCACCAACATCTCCCTTGGATTGATCTTTCGCCATGAACTTTCTTCGAAATCGTCTTCCTGCCCCAAAGCAGGACTTGCTCGCCAAGCAAGCCCGCCAACAGGGCACCACCGATGCAGCCTACAAGCCCTCGCGCATATCTGAGCTCTCCAACGAGTCTCCAAGCTGGTACAAGTCGGCTGCGCGCAGACATCTTTACTTCCTGCTCTTCCCAGCATGTGTTGTGTCGTACGCAACCTCTGGGTATGATGGAAGTATGATGAACTCCCTGCAGACTGTGTCCTACTGGGATGACTTCTTTGACAACCCACGCGGTTCTCAACTTGGACTCATGAGCGCCATCATGTCGCTTGGCAGCATCTGCTCCACGCCTATTGCGCCTTTTGTGGCTGATAAATACGGTAGACGATGGGGTATCACTACAGGAAGCATCATCATGATTGCTGGTGCCATTCTGCAGTGCGAGAGTACCAACTTTGCCATGTTTGTTGTCAGCCGTTTCATTTTGGGCTTTGGACTGTCCTTTGCTACGACTGCGTCTCCTAGCATGGTTAGTGAGTTGTCTCATCCGAAGGATCGGGTCACCATTACAGCTATCTGCAACACTTGGTAGGTCAATCTTTTCTACTTGTCCACTGCGTTTGCTGACTCGCCCAGTTGGTTTCTGGGCTCTATTGCAGCTGCTTGGATCACCTACGGTACCCGAGTAATCCCCAGCACCTGGTCATGGAGGATCCCCTCGTTGCTTCAGATGGCACCCAGTATCATCCAGCTATCCACTGTCTGGTTCCTCCCCGAATCTCCACGATGGCTCATCTCGAACGATCGTAGTGAAGAGGCCCTCGAAGCTCTTACGAGGTACCATGGAGAAGGTGTCAAGACGGAGCTGGTAGAGCTGGAATACGAAGAAATTCGAGCCGCAATTGAGCAAGAGAAGCGTGAGTCGCTCTCTGTCACGCTGCGATACTTTACTAACAGTCTACAGTATCTGGTCAAACCACTTGGAAGTCTATGGTTAGCACCAAGGGTAACCGTTACAGGATGTTCCTCGTCATCTGCATGGGTCTAATGTCTCAATGGTCCGGAAATGGATTGATCTCTTACTGTAAATAGACCTCGGAGTCACAATCTAACAGATCAATCGCTGACTTGATGACTTTATAGATCTCTCCCGAGTCATGGACAGCGTCGGCATCACGAACAAGAAGACACAAGCCCTGGTCAACGGTCTCATCAATATTTGGAACTGGGCTCTCGCTCTCACTAGCGCCTGCTTCGTCGATCGCGTCGGTCGCCGTCCTCTCTTCCGAATCTCTACAGTCGGCATGTTGCTAGTTTTTACAGGATGGACCATCGCATCGGAACGCTTTGCTGCCACTGAAGCCAAGTCTGCTGGCGTTGCGGTGATGGCACTCATCTTCGTATACGAGATCTTCTACTGCATGGCTTTCTCGCCGCTTCCGGTTGCATACTCAGTCGAGGTTCTGCCATACTCAATCCGGGCCAAAGGAATGGGTGTGTATGTTCTGGCGACCAAATGTGCTGTCTTCGTCAATCAGTATGTCAACCCTGTTGGACTGGATAGCATTGGGTGGCGGTACTACCTCGTTTATGTTGCGGTCTTGATTGTCGAGAGTTTCATCGCCTACGGTTGGTTCCTGGAAACCAAAGGAAAGGCCTTGGAGGAAATTGCTGTTATCTTTGATGGTGAAGCTGCGGATGTCACCGTTGAGGAGTCGACCAAATCCAAAGTGTTCAGCACTGAGATGCCAACGACTCTTGAACAGGAGAATGTCGACCGCAAGGTTTAGGTCAAAACTAAAGATGTAGTTAATAAGTAGATTATGAAGTTGGCCTTTCTCTTTTAATCACTAGATAGTGCTGAAACTATTTTATCTGGAGTAATAAAGCTCACAGTCATTAGTGCAGGGTAGATCATTTTATACACTAACCAATTCCAGACCCTCATTAGGACGCGTCTGTTAGTGGTATGGCCGTCACGACTGCACGAGGTA